CCCCAAACCTTTCAGCGAGTCCCGAAGAAGAGTAGATACCGGCGGCTCTCATTGGCGAGCGCGGAAGCGTGACATTATATTTATGTTGTCACCCCGCGTGTCAACGGTGCTGCTACCGGCGCACTCGTGAGAGCGAGAGGGGAAAGAAAGAGAGCGGGATAAAGTGTCACGACATCGTCGAGGGGCCCGTCCGGGTCTTGTCTGCAAACATTGCCGTTAGCGCATCCCGATCGCTACTCATACCGCGAAAGCAACAATGCAGTATTCTTTCGATACCTGTATACCGAAACCAGTCATTGTAAAACCATCGAATCGAATCGCGAAGAAAGCGATGGTGCATTTCTTTTCGGATCTAGTAAACTCAGCGCGGGGATAGAAAAGTCAAAGTCGGATATAAATGAATCAATCAGCGCGAGAACGTAAGATATATATATATATATATATTATTTCTTGTGTAATTCTTTAAAATCAAATTCCGATCGTAATAATAATCAAAAAATTAAAATCGATAATAGAACATTTACATATATCAATAAAAGACCGCAATATAGTTAATACAGCAACTACTGCAATTATTTTGCAATATGCATAATTAAGCTAGATATTATGACAAATCGCACATTTTCCGAATTGAATTCTTAAACGATAATACTCGAAGATCGCAGGGGGCCCTTCCGGTTCGCATTACACGCGCGTGCCTCTGTTGTTGCAACTGTCGCTCCGAAACAGTTGGCCCTACGACACTTTGGAGAATGTCTGCGAATCGTCAAGTAAGATCGTAAGATCCCGTGCCGACAACATCCGGCCTTTTAAGTGATACGCTGCCGACCACTTAAGGTAAGCTACGAGCTGTCAGCGGTTCCACGACTTCTTTCAACAGAGAAACTCGTTTGTGGAAATAAAGAAATATTTTCCTCTGCATGTACGCAACACCACGGATGCTCGGACAAATCTAATGTAACTTTTTTAATTAAACCATTTTCGAAACCTTTAATTTAAAAAAGTCAACGTTCTAAAAGCGTCGATGATTAAACAATCTTTATAATAGATCGCTTCGTGAAATATTTCTGTCCAAAAAAACATCGATTTCGAGTTTCTCGAAGAATCTAATCGAAAGAAAATCTGCAACAGTTCCGCAATGCTCTTATCTATCTCGACATTGCATCCAGACACGAGACACATGATGAGTATGTCGAATAAAAATCTGACACGAGTCTCTCAGAGCCGAACGGGAACGCTGGCATTAGCCGATAACCGAAATGCACGAAAGGCCGTGACGAATTACTCGAAGCTGGTCGAAAAGCCCGGAGAACAATCAATATCCGTCGTTCGTAACTGGCATAAGTCGTACGTGCTCGCGAACGTTATATAGGCGGGCAACGCGTGCCAGTTTCCATCGGGAGTGACGGTAACAGCTGTTGCACGTCCATTTCGAAGCTTTCTCCGTGAAAACTCCACGGGGAGAGAGAGAGAAAGAGAGAAAAAGAGAAAGAGGGAGAGAGAGAGAGAGAGAGAGAGAGAGAGAGAGAGAGAGAGAGAAAGAGAGAGAGAGAGAGAAAGAGAGAGGAAGGAGAGAGAGGAAGGGATATTGGCGGCGGTGATCGTCGCGTAAACACAACCTAAAAGCAGTAGATCACCCGGTTCCTCCTCGTACGTTTCTGAACACGCGCGCGGATAACTATACGCTACCTTGAAACATCGCGCTCGATCGATTTATGCTTGTCAGACAGGAAAGGAGTAAACGAGCCAGGACAGCGTCGATGCTAAAGAATATATCGATCGCGAGTAGAGTCGTCGCGTGTCTTAAGAAACCCAAAATCCGAAAGAATTTGCACGAATTCGTGGATTTTATTTGAAAAATAAAATTTCAAGAGAGCCCGAAGAAATTAATATATGCACAAGTGCTTGAAATTTAACGAATCACGTCGATATTCAGTAAGCTAAACGTTCGATTCTCATCCGCGCGTAAAAAACGTCTGTTTTTACCGTTTGTTCCCGCATTTGCCTGAAACTCGTGTTAAACCGCCGATAATTGGCCTTAAACGTAGTCCACGGGAGAGAGACCCGGCACAGCTCGCGACATCATTGCTCGTTATGCTCTTTTTTGCGGAAGTCTTTCCTAGCGCGCGCTTGTCAGCGAGTTTTTTCGCGAGTTTTTCGATCGAAAAGCACGTGTCCGATATTAAGGGCCTGATTGCGACCAGGACCGATGCCTGGCCGGCACGGCTCGTTCGAAAATTTTTTTGTTTTTTTTTGTTCCCTTCGGTCGGCGGCGAGCCACAGGGATTTTACAATCCTAATAAAAGTCCCGCAAAAGGAAAATCCTGCTCGCTCAGTGTACATAGCGCGCGCGCACGCTTGCCTTTTTAACCCGAAAATCCCATAAAAATTAAAAGCATCGTCCCACTGTCGGCGTACCGAGCAACTATTGTCCCACACGGCTCCCTCTTTTCTTTTCTTCTCTCCAGTGTTTCCCTTTTTTTTTTACACCGAATAAAACCAAACCTTAGCCGTAAAGACGTGTAAGACTTGATGAAAAAAATGGTCACGGAGATCGTAGTCGAATGCGTGAAAAAAGATATGGCGAGACGAGCAATATGAACAAAAAAGACATGCGAAAAGTCTTCTTTCGAAGTTTTTTTTACTTCAACTATTGTAGAGAGGAAGCAATCGTCAGTCGACGCTGTAATCCTGTAAATCGTCGCTCGGTCGTATATCACTCGGTTAAAAAATAATATCCACGCTACGTCCGCGTTTTTTGCGTTCTACCTCCGCCTCCGCCCCGTCGCCGCTTCTCGTCGATATCCTTTTTCTTTCGAAAGGCACGACCCGTGCCGTGATGCGACACTTGAAATTCTAATTCGTGCAAATTTACTGTCTAACAGGACAGAGATATTTCACCACGCGTCCTAATGAAACTGCCTCGACGTGTGTTTCTACGTTTTTGCGGCGTTTTGCGTCACAACGCTTCTCGCGAGAAAATACGCGAGATTGCAGCTAACATAAATTAATCTCAACTGTGATTTCGTGATTTTAATGAATATTAATAAGTTTTCCGATCTCAGAAAAGCGATCACGACAGATCGTGCGAAAGAAACGAGGAATAAGGCTCGTAAATTTTCTCTTTATTGCGATTTCATAAGTCAGCCGTTCTCTTAGTTCAAACATTGAAAAGTCAACCGGTCAATCGCGGCACTCAAAAAAATCTGATCGCTATCGAGAACATTGAATTATATCGTATTGTAATTTTTACAACGGCAAATACAGATGCAAAAGCATAAAACGCGAAACAGATTCGAAGAGCTTCAGTTAAACCGTTCTTGCAACCGCTATTTTTCCGCCGAGGGCGAAATGCGGGGATAATTTCGACTGACCTCGGCGACCATTGCAAATGAATCGTCTCAACCTTTTCCAATAGTTCCGCTCTCTGTCGTTGCCGATACATTTACGTAAACGATATACGCGCCCGGCAAAAAGAGTTCGCGCAACTGCGTAATTACCTGTGTAATTCTGGGGACGCAAAATTCAGTAGTTCTGCTGCGCGCGCGCGCGATCGCCAAAAAGGAAAAAGATCGGTCATTCATGTGTGTACGCGATAAAATCTGAGAGCGCGTTGAAAGCGCGCCAGATCGTATCAGCCAGTAATGCGATCCCCCAGCTACATAATGGTGCAAAACCTGGCCCATTGTTGTCGACCGGGGTGCATTCGGTGCACAGGATGTGCTCCCGATTTTCTCGGGTATCGTATAATGTGGCTTACGCCTAGCGGGGGGATGATAGGAGGGGGATAATGCAGCGAGATCCGGCGATTTAGGATACCGAAAAAGAGAAAGAGAGAGAGAGAGAAAGAGAGGGGGGTGGAGTTGTAGCGGCCACGCGAAGGGATGTTCTGCATGGGATACACTCTTTTTTTTTTCTTTTTTACGAAGTGTAATCTGTGAATATATCCTATAGAATTACAAGAATTTATTTGTAACAATTATTCGATGCAACAATTATTCGATGTAACATCTTTTGACGCAATAAATATTTTTCATCTCAAAAAATTTAATAATTTTTAATTATAAAAACAGACGCAAATAAATCAAACCTTTAGCTACTTAAAAGTACAAATTCTGCATTATTTTACATTTATATGATGTTTAAAAAAATCATAGCTTATAATTGTTAAATAAACGAATAAATTTTCTTAATAAATGTATCAACAGCACCTCACATTCTTATTTTTCGTTATTTTAAATGTAAATTAAAATTATTATTATTATTAAAAGTTTTTCTCAAGAAAAGTAATATATTTAAATTAAAAAGCAATAATTGATTACATTACACGGAAAATGAAAATATAAACAGTCTCATTGAAATATTTTATTAAAATGCTGATTTCGCCTAAAATGCACATTGCACAGCAACGTGGCGCCATCGGCGATATACCAGCGAGACGCAAGGTAAAGTATTAGCAGCGGATAACAGACTACCAGAGAGAACAGATATTCTGTCGTTTTTCGCAGCACCCTTGTTCAATATCGCTATCTGTAGTCGAAACTACATAGCTAAATCATTTTTCAATATGATACACACCACTACTTTTTGGTGCATATCCTTGCTACATTTTTAAATTATATCACAAACGCGTTTATATCACTAAAACTACAGTCTATTAAAGCTAGGCTTAAATAAAAATTAAAAAGTTTGAATTCAAAAAAATTGAAAAAATTAAAATATTTTTAAATTTAAATTTATTATTAAAATTATTAAATTTTGCATAAATTTGTTTCAAACTTTATGACATGTTACTTTTATACTATAATATTCTTTTCCGCATTTTCTTAAATTTATTCATTAAATTTTACATTTTTACTAATAAAGAAATTTGTAATTACTAAATAAATAAATTTCATATATATAAAAATGCCTAGCATTTGAAAAATAGCCCAACATCAATATTAATCTAACCTCTTTCTACCAAAATAGTTCATATTTTTTTGTAATAAATTACTTACCACAATGTGTTCCTGACGTAGCCTGATGCCTCCTTGGCCACCTCTTCCTCTCAGTCGTTCTGATCCTTTATGGCACTCACACGCACACTCGCGAATATACGATTAACGTAAACGAAATTACGGCACGTTTCGCGAAAACGTAATCACGATTTCTACAACATCGAAAGATACTTAGTCCAATAATGTATTAGCTAATTCAATTTTGTGCAAATCAATAGATTCTAATAAAAGAGAAAGAAAGAAAGAAAAAAAAGAGTTAATTACAATTCTAAAATAGTTAAAAGATAAAAATATATTAGATATAAGAAATAAAATATAAAAAAACAGATTAGTGGAAAGTTGGTGTAAAAAATTAATTTAATTATGAGCAAACCCAATTAATTTTTGTGCTCAATTATTTATTAATTATATTAATTAAAAAATAATAGAAAAAGTTAATTTTAGTTAAAGTTAAAGTTTCAGTTAAAAGATAGATGTAAATTAGATATAAAAATAGAATACGAAAGAACGGGTTAGTCAAAAGTTTGTAAAAAACCAACTCAACAATCTTAACAATCTTAATCAACGAGCGGACCCAATAAATTATTCCGCTCAATGATTCATTTATCAGAAATAATAATTACAAAAAAAGGAAATAAAAAAAGACAGTAGAAGAAAAAGAGTGTTAATTAATTGTAATAGTTAAAAGAAGTTGTAAAACAGTTAAAAGATAGATGTAAATTAGATGTAAAAATAGAATACAAAAGAGTGGATTAGTAAAAAGTTGTAAGAACTCAATCTTAACAATCTTAATCATAAGCGGACCCAATAAGTTATTCCACTCAATGATTCGTTTATCAGAAATAATAATTACAAAACAGAAAAAGGAAATGAAAAAAGCAGTAGAAGAAAAAAGAGTGTTAATTACAATTGTAATAATAGTTAAAAGAAGTTAATCACGAGCGGCCCAATAAATTATTCCGCTCAATGATTCGTTTATCAGTCAGTAATAATAAATACAAAAAGAAGAAGATAAAAAAATGACAATAGAAGAAAAAAAGAGTGTTAATTATAATTGTAATAATAGTTAAAAGATAAAACCAGTTAGATGTAAAAAATAGAATATAAAAGAAGACAATATGTTAGTGCAAGTAAGTTAAATATAAGATAAATAGAAAACAATATTATGAAAAATCAAAAATCCTGAGTTAAATAAACAAAAATACAAATAAAATTTTTACTTTGAAAAAGTCCTTATGTGAGCAATTTGAAAAAAATTATTTAAAATTGTTTTTGTAATCTTTCGTTAATCCAATTTCTCTTTTATCTTATAATTCAAACTATTTATATTAATTTGTTGTATTTATAATGTTTTGCATTTATTATGTACAATTTCTATCTAAAGAATTTACTAAAATCTCTGCATTTAATATCCATATTATTAACATATCATAATTTTTCTTTTACTTCTTAAAAGAATCTAATACACTAATTGGACCAATACTTCCTTTGAATTACGATTTTTTTATATTAATTCATAGCAATACTCGTTATTGAAATGCACGTATTGAAGTGGCATATCAGGAATGTACGGCTATTCACACTTTGTTTCGAATCATACGATTATCTGTAAAAAATTTAAAAGAAACCTATTACAATGATAAATTTTTTATTCCTAAAAAAATATAGAAAATATTAATAAATAACTGATAAATTATTATTCGTTCTATCGCTGTCTCCTAGATTTTCCCTTTTTCTCTCAGTATCTCCTTCATAGTACTAACTCGTAAAAATACGACAATCTCAAGATATAAAATTGCACTGAAATTAGAAGTGATTTAGAAGTGATTTAGATTTATGATTTAATATGATGCATAGAACAGTTTCCATCAGGTTCGATTTGTTCGAATGTCGCAAATGATGGTAAGAAGATAGCGTACTAACAACAGAGCGAACACATACTGCATTGTAGATCACAAAAAACATAAATATCAGTAAATCAACATTGAAATAGGTAACTTAAGTGCTATTAATGCTTTGTATATTTTATTTCGTGAATTTTTTATTTTAATTTGTCATTTATTCGTGTTTAAACATTATAATACAAAATATTAAAATGCTGTAATTGTCTCAAAATTTAAACCTGTATTATTCTATATGTACTTTTTATTTATTGCCGTTCGGAATGTTAAACGAATCGTAGTTTCGTACAACCGTGCTTTTTCGAATTATATCTTTGTCATGACGTGACAAAATACGGGTCGGAAAATACCGAACAAAATATCGCGCGATCGTCGTATTTTTGTGAGTAAATATCATGAAGAAGCAGCCTAAATATTAATCACAAAATACCAATATGTCGTAAGCTAATTTCTACAAAATTTGTAGAGAACAAATTTGCAAAATTAAATAAAAATAGATAAAATTTTTTTATGTCAAGAATACTGTGCACACGTAAAATTTTTAAGAAATTATAGAAATTATAAAACAATTATGGATATTATAAAGTTACGATAAATTAATTATGTTATTAATATACGCGGCGGTATATATTTTTTCTGATTGACAACTGCTAATCATATTACATGCATCAAACGGTAATATCGACAATGTCGATAAATGTATGTGGTTATGTAGTTCCAATTCTGACCTGACTAGATGTCTCTGTAAAACTCTCGGAGCTCTCGGACACAATTATTTTGATATGCGGTTAAAAGTAATGGCAGCGCATGCGCAGTTCGTACATGTATACCTCGAAATTTCGTGAATAAACGATTAATTAACAGAATATATTAGATAACCCATGACATTATACTTAACATGCGATATGCCTGATACTTTTAAACATAAACAAATACACGGCGGAATACGTGATCGTCGTTTTGATACTTACCATCTCAATGCACCCCGAATAGCGACATACATCTCAAAAATCGCGAATACGCGTTGAATCAAATCGCATTGCATCTGTACGACAAACGCGACTACTAGTATTGCCCGAGACTCGCGATCGTTCTCACATACTTTAGATACTTATTCGCGCACTTTTGATACCTATACTTGTTTTTGATGAATAGATCAACCGCGAATAACACGTATCGTACTCGTACGCGTGGCGAAACGGAGCGAAATGAAGTTGGCGCACGTTCCTATACAGTGCTGCGCCGTTGCGTTATAGACTCGGCTTTGAAAAAATAATTCAAATGAAGCTGAACGCCCTCTATAGACAAGAATGACAAGACGAAAGAAAGGAATGGAGCAATATACCCTTTACAAATAAGTGTTGTTATTTCATGACCAAACGGACGATTAATTATCAGGACATATTAGATAATCCATGGCATTACTTAACATATGATATGCCTGATACTTCTAAATGAACAAATACACGGCGGAATACGTGATCGTTGCTTTGATACTTACCATCTCGACGCACCCCGAACAGCGATACATTTCAGAAGTCACGAATACGCGTTGAATCAAATCGCATTGCATCTGTACGACAAACGCGACTATCAGCATTGCTCGAGACTCTCGCGATCGTTCGCGACATATTTTTGATACTTATACCTGCTTTTAATAAAACAACCGCGAATAACACGCATCGTACTCGTACGCGTCGCGAAACGATGTGAAGTTGACGCGCGTCCATGCACAGTGCTGCGCCGTTGCGTTATAAATTTGACTTTGAAAAAATAATCCGAATGAAGCTGAACGCCCTCTGTAGACAATAAAGTGATAAAGCGAAAGAAGCGAATGGCAATATGCTCTCTACGAATAAGTGTAGTTATTTCGTGACCAAACAAATGAATGTCGATGCATTCATAGACATAGGAATAGGGAGACGGAGTGTAAGCCGCGTGGTGAAGTCGCTTTCGGGGAGCGGGGACTACGATGGTATTTTGGTACCGCATTTATGCTACAACTAATGCCAATGTGGCACCAAAGTATCACGTGACTGCTATTCCCCGCACCGCGGAACTGACTTCACTCCCCTCGCCTGAAGTAAGATTTTATGCTCTGTCTCCTTATTCCTATGTCTATGGATGCATCATATTAGACACTTCATAACCTTATTCAATAGTTCCACATTTTTTACATTTCTGATAACTATCGCTTTCGGTGATAGAAGCTAACCTTCGCTTTTCGATAACTATCGCTAATATTTACCATTTATCTGGAAATAGTGCAGCAATCCGGACAGTGCCTTCGGAGTATCTTTGTGATTGTGAAAACGCGTTGAATTATATCCGGTCGCATCTGTACGATAAACGCAACTACAAATATTTCCCGAGACTTTATTCGACATTCGCGATTATTTCTCGCGATTTTTTTACATTTCTAGCGTACTTATTCGCGCACAATATTTACTTTTAACGAGTAGAAAAGCGGCAAATAACACGCATCAATTTATGCACGCAAAACGCTGTAAGAAGATTGGCAAGCGTATCTATGTTGCACTGCATCCGCTGTGTTCACAGGATTGACTTGCAAAAATTACGATCAATTAATCTGAATAAAACCGAACACACTCAAGGCAATAAAGCGAATGAAGAGGAATACTCTCTACAAGTAAGTGTTGTTGTTTCATGATCGAACAATTCATTATTACAGCGTCATATTAAACAATTCATGGCATTGTTCAAAAATTCTATATTTTTGATACTTTCGATATATTCAAAACGAATAAAGAAAAGGATAATTATGTCTTCAATATTTACCATCTCAAAACAGCACAGCAATCTGAACAGCGTCTTTGATGCATCTTTACGAAAACACGTTAAATTAGATCCGGTTGCATTTGTACGATAAACACATTACGAGCATTGCCTGAGACTTTATTTGACACTTGCCATTATTCCCGCACACCTCTAATACTTATTTTCACATACAATATTTACTTTCAATAAAAAGAACCGCAGAGCACTAGCCCCGGCTTGTACGTGGCGCGAAACGGTGCAAAATGAACTTGCATATATTTGCGCAGTGTGGACACTACGTCCGTTATGTTACAGACTTGATTTTTAAAAATTTTGGACAAGGAATAAATCGATACACCCTCTACAAGTAGATTTCTGTTTCATAACCGTGCAATTAATTGAGACGCCATATTAATCAATTCATGCAATTCATAGCATTATTCAAAAATTCTATATTTCTAACACTTTCAATATATTCAGAACGAGCGAAAAAAGGGTAAGTATGATTATCGCTTCAATATTTACCGCCTCGAAGCAGCGCAACAATCCTGGCAGCGTATGTATTTCAATGTATTTTTGGGATTACAAAAGCGCGTTGAGTGACCTGATTGAATCCGCACGTATTCGCACGGGCAGCATTCATAAACGTATTATTCAACACTCGCGATTGGTTTTACACACTTGTGATACTTATTTTCACACGATATTCATTTTTGACAGGTGAAAAAAAAACGGAAACCAGCTTTAACTTGTACATACGCTTCGCGAAATAAATTTACGTACATTTCGCGCCATGCTGCGCTACTACGTTTACAGATTTGACTTACGAAAATTTCAGACAATTAGTCGAAATAAAACAAAACATCTATAGTATTGTTATGAGTATTATTATAAGATATCTGGAATATTTAAAATTGTTCGCAAACAGATAAATTAAGATTGTTATTGTTATCCAAAATGGTAATTATAAGTTAAGATAGTTTTATAGGTTAGTTCTTGTTTGTATGCCTTCATTTAATATTTCAATCATTTTATGTTTAGCGATCCAAGCCAAACGAGCGACCAAACTCGAGCAACCAAATAGGATGAAATTCTGAGCGCGAGAGAGAGGTGGAGCAAATCTCACGTCTGTGTATTATCATCCTTTTGATGTCCTTCTCAAAGCCGGACCTTGTCGAGCTTACATTCCTGGCTGCTGTAAGCACAGGGAGGTAGAAGCTGTAAATTTCGACAACTGAACAAACATATTACTTGAGGAGATTGTTATCATTTACCAAGGTTTATTATTATCTATTCTTGATAATTGTGTCTCCCTCAATATTGATAATATGCATAAAAAATCATTTATAAGAAGCTATTAGAGAAAAATAACAATATAAGTAATTTGCAACATATTCAAAAGCAAATTTTGTTTTAAATAAAAACGCATAAAAATTTCGGAATTTTCTTATAAAAAATTTTAACATAAGAATATTATTAAAATATACTTGTACTTAATGTTATTACATTTGTATAGATAATAATCGTTTTCTATGAAGAACTTAAAAACTATTTTGTTTAAAATACTTTAAATTAATTAAAATATATATTTAGACATTAAATACATTTTATAATGTTTATAAATTATGCATTAATCTTGTCTAAATAATAAATTATATCTTCTGATAATAACTAGAAGTTTTGTGCAAACATGCTTTAGAAAATAAGAGATAATTAAAATAAATGAATGATATATATGTAATAAATCTATTGTAATATCTTGTGTATCTAATATAATATATATATTATCAGGTTTTCCATTTTCCAAAATTACTGGAAACTCGAGTGCCATCCCTGTATCGCTGGAATCTACTGGAGTGTACTGGACAATACAGGGAGACAACGGGGCTTTATTAAGCTTATTAACGGAACATACAAGGGTGGACGTATCTACGTCGGTGGTTGGGGAAAGTATAGCCGCTGAGAGATGTGAGGATGGAAGGTAATGGTGGAGGGAAAGCTGTGTTTCAACTCGTTTAATCGTGGCGCATTCGAGACCTCTATTTGTTGTATACATCTAATATCATTGCGTCTCTTTCCATTTTTACCGCCTCAGCCAGTTATATCCTTCAAACGACATGGCAGAATTAAATGGAAGAGATATGTTTTGCGAACAATTTTAATTAAGCATTGATATGATAAAAATCGTATTTCTTTATTGATTTCATTAAACAGATACTAAAGATGATATGAATAAGATTCATTAACGATATGAATAAGATTGTTTTAAATAATGCACACCAAAATTATTTTTTAAATGATAGTAATTATAATACATAAACATATTTTTGTATACAACAAATTGGGGTATAAAATTCGTAGTTGCTTCTCCCTCCCTATTTCTCTGATAAATTTTCTACTTTTTGACCCTCCCGCACCCCTGCTTTATCGCGTGTTCTCCGCAAAAGGATTATTAACTGCACGCTTCGTAGTTGAATTAACGGAAGACGAATTATATCGACGGAAACGGAAACGGAAAAGATCGCTCCGTATGGTCACGAACAAACCACGTTCTTATTTTTTTTTATTTCTAAAAATACTTGCCGGTGCCATGTCATAATTATCATTATGCTATTCTAACTTAAAACTATTTAGCTGCAAATTTTTTAATATTTATCTTATTATTTGCCTTCAAATTGGACTTTATTTTATTACTGTTCTTACTGTGCGTATTTTTTATTATGCTTATTCATGACATGTAATTGTTAGCTTAATTTTCAAAAAATTTATATATCTATAATGAAGTTAATTCTTGCAAATATACACATGCATATAAGATCCGGGGGAGATAAGGGTTCAAGTATGTAAGGGCCACGGCGGATTTGGTCGTAAGCTGACGGAACAGGAGCGATCTTCATCTAATCGCGTCCCTAGTCCTGATTTAGGACGGGATTTTAATTTACGAAGGGTCAGTAAGTGCGGCTGTCCACTTGGCGCAAGTATTCCTCCCTTATTTATAGTTCATTAGCTCGGCTTTCGTGTAGTAGGCAAATTAACTTGCGCCTAACAACACTTTTCCTTTGTCCATTGAGAAAACGAAGTTATCCCTTTCTTCTTTAAATCTACATACAAAAAAATCTATCATAAACATATTATGAAATATTTTCTTCTAATTGAGATATTATTATTAAAAACAATATTGACATATTGTTGTTTATAATACATAAATGGTTTAATTACGTTAAATGCATTATATTATTATTATTATTATTATGCTTTTAAATTATATAAAGCTGTTTTATGACGTAACAATGTTTTAATTTAAACATCTTGAATTTTAAATTATTTTTTAATCTATTCTCTTAATGATATTAGAATAAAACAAATTAGATTGAATTACCGGCATCATACACAGGACAAAGTTGTTTAGAAATTGATCTGTAAAATAGAAAATCATTCAAATTATAGCAGCATTCAAAATGATTATGTCATAAATTACGCACATAAACTTTTACTCATCTTTTATGTAAATATTTAATAAAAGAGTTATATTTATATCTGATAATAATTATAAATATTAAAAACTGTAAATCTTTTACTGAATATTCTAAAGGTTTTATGTGCGCTACATTACATAATGTTTTACGTGCAATTTTTGCAAATCACAGATAACAAATAAATAAATACTTATTCTAAAATTGCTCCGCCGGCGTTCGATGCTCTTCTGAGTCTTCTGTTTTCAGTTCTTGCAATCTTTTAAGTGTGCAATCTTCTTGCACTCACACGCATTCGTTAATTATCTTTTGTATTGTTATGCAGTTTGACAATCAATTTTGTCAACAGTCAGCTGATTTAATCGAAAGAAGAGCTAGAAAGACATTATTCAACTGCGACAAGATTATGATTGATGGCTGCATTAGGCAGCACGAGATAATAGATTAAACGGGTAGCTAAAATAGACGGATCCTTTGACGCTTGCTGTTATCAATGCGACGATATCGCTCTGAGCCACTTCCAGCGCCACCGGAAAAGCTCGCAAGACCGCTTTATCGTTGACTGCTTTCTCAGAAAAACAGTTGGCTCTTACATATTCTCTATAGAAACATATTCTCTATAGTATACGCTTATACAGGATATCACAAGACCCGATGCACTTTCTGAGCCTCCTTCTCCTTTCAGTTCTCTCCGCAGTTCTTCAAGGCATTCACACGCGTTTACGACACGAATACAAAAATCGCACAATATTTCAAACGGCACTATCAACGTATACTTTGTCATATTATGACGAAAGTAAAACGTACGGAATATTATCTCACGAATTATTCGACATTCCGCCGCAACAACTAACGACGGAAAGGATGAAATTGAAAACCATGGAAAATAATAAGGATAATACTTGGAGAGAATAACAGCGTCAATATGGAACAATCTCCTTTACGAGGAGCGCATAATAAGGATGCAATAAACATATTAAGCACAAAATCGCTATGAAATTGAAATCGGAATTGGCGCAACTTTGTCTTTGATACGTTTATTGTATTTTTATCATACGCACGACGACACCTCGGAGCAGATCATGTTTCGTATCGTTATCTTCTCCAATAGTGTTATCTTTATAGTGTTATCTTTATTATTTTCCGTAGTTTTTCGGTCTCACACTTTCCGTTGTTACATGTTACGGATGCGACAAAATATTAACGTGTAATCCGTGCGATGACATTCGTGTTTTACTTTGTCCAAATGACAAAGTACGCGTCAGGAGTGCCATTTCAAACATCCATGCGATTTTTGTATTCACGTCGTTTTTATTGCCATTAAAAATTGTAATTTATATACAAAATAATTATGTATAATATTGTTCTCCAAATATTTTATTTAAAATAATTAAGATGGTTTTTTTACATGTTAAATGGCAAATGCAGAGTTTGGATGATATATTTTATCCACGCTAAATGCATCAATTCTTTGTATATATATAAATATTGCATATAAATTTGTATATATATTTTTTAGATCAATGTGTTAAGAAAAGCTCCAAAAGAGTTAATATCTTAATTTTTCGTCGTACGTTACTATTTGTATAACATACAAATAATGCGGTTGCAGTGGTTGCGGTTTCGCCATTATTTCTAGTGTCGATTTTTGTGGCAATTCCGAATATTTCGTCATTTTGTGATAAAGATAAGTAAAAAATAGTAAACTCACACAAAAAGCATCAAAGGAGTTAATTATCTATATTCTTGAGAACGTGATAAACCGCATCTGACTTCTCGATTGCATTTCAAGCCACAATGCAATAAACAGTAGCACCGTATGACCGCGATTCAGCATATTTTTGATAAACCTGAATATCGAAGTAACATGAAGGTCTAAGAAACTGACAAGTCTATACAAAGATCTAAAAAATGTTCAGACACGTCTGTGTTATTTAATAATTAATTGCAATGTAAATTTGTTAACAACCTATTAGATATTATAATTATATTCATAGATATACGTATATTTTAAGGAATTTTATGGAATGGAATTTTCATCATTTGACATAATACAAAATTGTTCGTATCTTTAATTATTTGAACAACTGTAAATGTAAATCTATAGCTATGTGATTTTAGAAATTAGATCAAAGGTGTCAAGAAAATCCAAGGATTTAGCTCGCATACCCTTCAAAGGTGATCAAGAACATCGTTTAATTTATGCAACAATGGTCGCAACTGCTGAAGAATAACATTCATCTGGGCCAGTGGCCCAGCAAGAAGCATCGAGATCCGCGAAAAAGGAAAAGGGGTCGAGAGAAGGAGATGGAAAGCGGTGGAGATGCAAAGGAACGTAATCGCAGAGGTGGGGCGAGCGATGCATGATGCGGGAGAGCTTGACCCCTCCACCTGCTTCCCCAACGAGAAGCTCCGCCTCCAGGAACTCGGGTGACGTCACACGGACACTTGTTACGCCTTGCCGTTGCTTGATGGGATGCTGTACCGCTGAGATTTTGCAGAAACCAAAAGAAACCGATCGACATACCGAGGTATCTATGCACCGACCAAAAATCTCCACCCCGACATACTCATTGATACTTTAACCGTAGTCTTCTTAGTCCAAGTGTCTTTAAAAATTTTCCTGATCATGTATAATCAGTATATATAAATAAATTTTAATAATACAGATCCAAAAAAATATAAGGCGTGCGTGTATCTTTATAAAATAAGTGATAAGCTCTTGATATCATTTGTCAAGTCACTTTAGTTTCTAAATATTTTCCAAATTGTATTATAATGAATGTAAACATTATGAGAGATTCGTTACCAGTCTATATAGACCATTACATGACGCATTGTACCCCCACGTCGCGTATTCCCACTTTGTAAAGAAAAGAGGGGAACAATCGTCCGAAGGCAGGGCCATCGCGATATCGCGGCCACTGGGAGGCTGGTTCGCCGTGAGAAATCACGCGATAACATTGAGAAATTTCTGTTGGAACTTCCTCCTCGTCGTCACGAGAGGTGGCTCGAACAACGATCGTCGTCGCGCGAATTGTGTTCCCAACTGATGCACATTAGAGTAATTTATCGAAATCTACATTCCAATAAATAATTTTCCAACAGGAAGACCTTCAATCTCAAAAAAAATTGTTTTGAATATGTTAACAGGATTGTGCAATAAGAAAATCACCAGTCACCGAGTAGGAAAACGTGAAAGGCTGTGCTGACACACTGGAAATCCCACGAATTTATTCCGATGCGCGATTGCGATGCATATCACGTCTGTTGGCTCATGATCTGGCGAACATCAGTGCAACGTCTCCTTCGTGAAGTAACGGTCATCGTTTTATCAGCAGAACGGCGGAAATGCAGAGGAAACAATATTTTCTCGTCGACGAGGCACACGAACGTTGGAGACTCGTCGGAGCCGCAGAGATCGCGGTTCGAAAAGTGGCGCAACGACACGGACGTGGGGCGGGCGGCTCGCGGCGTGGTGGGAGCGCTGGAGCGTAGCCCGCTCCAGCCGCCGAGGGGCGTCAGTTCGGAGGCAGAAGCGGTGGCGGGGGGTCCAGGATCACGGGGCTTAGGCCGTCCCGGGCCGCTAACGCGCGGAACACGCGGCCCGCTGAGCCGCTCCGCGCGGCATTACGTCGCGCACCGTCGACCGCGACTGACGTATGCGCGAGAGGATCGTCGACCGGATCGCCTCATCGACAATCGCGATCATGACGCAGCTCGTCGCCAGAAGGAAATGTCAGAAGGCGTTATGTAGGAAAAGTGCGTCGTTTATCCACGTGTAACGTATCGTGACGTTATACCGGATTCGAGTAATCAACGCCTGTGGATCATTCGGCGGCGACAACCTGTCGGAGCAGAGATCGCGGGACAGATAATTTAGGTGGTGCTGCCGCGGCGAACAGTGTTCCCAGAGAGAGAGAGAGAGAGAGAGAAAGAGAGAGATCTGAATACGGTGACAAATATATCTTGGTGACGGTTTAGAAACATTGCCGGGTGTTGAGTGAACTGCCGATGGACAGTGACAGCGTACTCTGAATTACCGGACTCGCGCAAGAAGTGCAACGGTACATCGTAAGATCTAGATCTGAAAACAGCCGGCCTCCGTCAATCACGGAGCAAGAGCGGAACGCGATACCACGGTGTTGGGATTCCTGCCTGTGCTATGACGATCTCGCGACTGAAAAACATGAAAATTTATGCGATTGTCGAGGACGAGGGAAGCTGGTAAGTGTGTGAGGCACGACGAAGTCGCCTCCGTCCGCGAAGTAAGTGAAAATCACGACGTCCCGGCCGAGGGGTGCGTGCTTGGGCGACGAGGGACGGCTACTGGCCGATGGGATGCATCTACCGGTGGGTACCGTGGGCTGCGGGGAGAATTACGGCACCGTTGGATCCCACGAAGGCGCCGGCCCGTGCGGTCCCTCCCTGGCGCCGCTGCAAGGTGTGAACAGCAGGTACCACCAGGTAGACGACGCCGACGTCGGAGGTGGAGGCGGCGAGATGAGCGAGAGTGCCGCCGTCGGCGAACTATGGTGGACCGAAAGGCTCGTCGGTGAGGCGCAGGCCGAACATCCTGGAGAACTTGTCAGAACAGGTTGGTACTTGTCTGTTAATAGCGATATTAATTAAAACGTAAAAAGTAATCGAAAATAATAGAGAAGCAAAAGGTATTGGAAAGAAGCTTAGATTTAACAGATGATTATTTATGCATCATGCGCTTCTATTAAAACATTTGATTTAAATATTAAATTAGATCGGATGGTTTTATGCACTTGAAAATCTGCGCGACTTTGTTTCAGGATCGCCTTACTTCTTATGCAGTCAATTACCGACGCACTGGCGGTCCAACAAAACACTTCCAGTGGCGTTCAAAGTAGTTGCTCTCGGCGAGGTCGGCGATGGGACTCTGGTAACGGTCCGTGCCGGTAACGATGAAAATTGTTGCGCGGAGCTGCGAAATTCCACCGCGTTGATGAAGAATCAAGTCGCCAAGTTCAACGACCTAAGGTTCGTCGGCAGAAGCGGCAGGGGTGAGTTTCTTCAATTATTATAACTTTTATTCTCTAACTTTCTAGACGCTTCGTGCATGTGGGAAAAGAAAAAGACACAAGAAGAGGAGCGCAAACAGAAATAAATATTTCGTCTTTGCAAGAGACACGTATTAAAATTCTAATTATCCTGCCGGAAAACAATTTGCCATACCTTTGATCATGTAGACGTTCATACGAGAAATCTGCAGCGCTATGTATCAATGCGAGCAAAAGCGCGTGCCGCGATTTCCAGCCCTCTAAAATCACGGTTATTGTAATCATCATCATCGGGCCACCCTCGTCTGCCCCCGCGTGCGTCCCCATTCGCGAGTTCCCGCTCGCCCGCCGCCCCCAGAGTCATTACTCGATGTCTGCCGCAAGCCCCAACCGAGCATTCGAAACAACTGGCCGTTAATCAGAAATCATCCGACGGATATGGACGGATATGGACGGAGAGGATGACTTGCCAAAATCAACCAACGCTCACGGTCGATGCTCTTGACTTGTTTAATTTTCGACCCTAATTTTCCGTCAACCCCTGCGGCTCTTTCGCGCGCATATTGATTAATAAAAATATCAAAGCAGCACTGATTAAACCGCGATGCGAAGCCACGCTAACACACATTCCGACGATTGAGCAATGTAATGAAAAAAATCCGAGATACAGCGAGCGGGCGAGAGAGGAGACGGCGGCGAGGGGTCTCGGCTCGCTGGTTTTTCTTCAAGATTGTTCGTTTCATTCGACATTCGACCTATTTGCGCTCTCGAAATATCGATTTCCCGGCCGATAATAATTATTCACGGATTAGCAGGCGGCTTCGTCAAAGCCTACAAATGCATTTTGCACCCCATGATCCGGAGGGCGCGTTTATGAATTAACGGGCCGGACTGCTCGTACACGGCGGGATGCTCGTCCCGTAGCGCGTCATCTATGTTTCATTTGATTTGATCATGAAGTGCAGAGTCAGCGATTTTCATCCTCCTGGCGCACAGGTGCATCGGTCCCCGTAGTCAATTAGCGAAAGAGACACTTCCCTCGCCTAAAATCCTTCGATCCCTTTGTCCATTTTTCGGTCTTCGTTTGTTTGTAATTTTTTTTATTTTTTTATTTTTTTTTATATTTTTTTTCTCGTTGTTTTCAAATCTCTCCCCCGATAATCCATAATACTCAATTTCGGCGATTGACCAAACCGCCCTCGGTGTGTTGATACCGGCCACCACCATCGAGCGAAACCGGCTTTCCTATCATCGGGGTTTTGTTTCCGCGACTTATTAATTTGATTGAATTGCATCGCATCGGCCGGCAAACTGATTCAAGAAATTGCAGCGAGGATTTTAAAACGTGGCAAGGCCACGAAAAATCGGCCGCTACCTCCTCGATTAAAAAGAGCGATCGCGGCCCGCGGCATCAACGCGACGAGATTATTTTTCGCCGACTCGAGGGCTGATATCTCTCTCTCTCTCTCTCTCCTCGATTTTTCTCACCGCACAATTTTCTCCGGCAACATATATATATATATATATATATATATCCGATTGAAATTGCTTTTACACGTGTCTTCTGTTGTCGCGTAAGGATTACAACTCCGTTCACACCTCACGGTTTATTACCTCTAATCTAGCCTGCTATTAAAGCCAGTTTACGCTAAAAGGGAAATAATACGCGATAAACCGCAAATCGGTCGGACGATCATTTTTTCTCTTCATTAAAACGCACCACTCGCGGAACATTGTACCCCGCGTTACTTCACGAGAGAGCGCGAGGTCTCGTCGGAGGATTCCACGATCCCGGCAATTATCGCCTCTCGTTCGCTCATCCGGACGGGTCGTTCCGGAAACGCATCGCGGACGAAAAGAAGCGGGAACGTAGTAGTAGTAGCGCCCGAATCAAAGAGGGTCGGTGAGGCTGAAACGACCGTTTCATCATCATCGTCGGGATCGAGAGCGGCCCGTGCCTATAATTAGTAATATACCGCAGTCTATATCGACACGGCTGAAATTACCGCCGATAGTAATTATTTGACAATTGCAGAGACATCCTGTTGGGAGACTCGGGGACCTCCGCTTCGTCCCTACCAACGATATCCCGTTCCACCCGCGCCCCCCCCCCTCCCTTAGCCTTTCTACCCCGTACGTTGCTGCTCGCTTAGCCCTACGCGACCTCGTCCCCTCCGCTCCGTCGCCACGAGTATTAACGGACGGTTTCGAGTGGTTTCGGGCGGTTGTGTGTGGGCGGTTTAG